ACGCAGTGGCGCAGTAGGTAGTGCTGTCACCTCACAGCAAGAAGGTTGCTAGTTCGAGCCCTCAGCTAGGTCAGTTGGTGTTTCTGTGGGGAGTTTGCATGTTCTCCGTGTTGGCGTGGGTTTCCCCCGGTGCTCTGGTTTCCCCCACAGTCCAAAGACATGCGTTACAGGTGAAATGGGTAGGCTAAAATTGACCGTAGAGTGTGTATGTGTGTGTGTGTGTGTGTGTGGATGTTTCCCAGAGATGGGTTGCGGCTTGAAGGGCATCCGCTGTGTAAAACATATGCTGGATAAGTTGGTGGTTCATTCTGCTGTGGTGACCTCAGATCAATAAAGGGACTAAGCCGAAAAGAAAATGAATGAATGAATGAATGAATGAATGAATGAATGAATGAATGAGTTTTCTGCAATGAAATAGAAGTCAAAGTGCATTTCTACTGATTATTATGAATTAAAAGCTCTTCTGCTACTTGATATTTTTGTGGAAACTGTGATTCAGTTTTATCAAAAGTCTAAGCATTGTCTGTTTGACTGGAAGTGCCATAAAGCAATGTTTATTTGCATTTCCCAGCAATCATAAAAAACAAACAAACATCCACAGCATTAAGGCAATAAATCTGAAACGCACAGGTGAAATGAACAGCTCATTCAGCAGGATTGAGGAGGTTTATTAGTCGCTGTGAATCTGAAATATGTAGAACTGAGTCAGTAACAGGTTGAAATAGCAGCTCTGTGAGTCACAGAACTCTGCAATTTCATTCACATGTTAAACTCAGACTCATTCATGAGGAAAACTACACAATCTGAAGCCTCACAGCGCTATCTGCTGGTACAACACATTATGACAAACATGCAGAGGAATCATCTATGCTAAAATATACACTGAAAATACCTTTCTTACTTGGAGCTTTTGTTTCTAGTCCAAATATCTACAAATTCTTAAATAAAGAAGCATTTCCTGCATTTACATGACTTGGTATAGGAAATAATTAGGCAAAATTAGGTGAGTTTTTTCCTTAAAACAAGAAAAATAATCTGCCAGTGAGGTAAGCTAGATATAATTATTCAAAAGGAAAATACAAAATCATTTTGTGCACCCAAAAGTAACAGGTTAATCTTAGAGATGCAAAATTTACCTGCAGTTCAACAAATGACCTGAATATATCAGTCAAACACAGCCTATATGTTTCATACTGAAACTACTGTTAAAGTAGCCCTGAACCCACATACATCAGAATATATACACCTTATAAAATAATATAAAATGATTATATCAAATGACCTTTGTTTAAATATCTAATAATGAGTATGAAATGATTTATAAACACAAATACACAGAACTGTATTCTGGCACTGATTACTGATAAATGAGAGATGGTGCATTTTCTGTTCTAGCGAGCCAGATCATAAACATGTTCCTCAGCATTACTATTGGTGTTTTTTGGTGGAACAATAGTTGTGATGGAGCCGGAGCTTTTCGGGTCGTCTGAAAAATGACCAGCAACATCCTTGTGAATGTGAAAGTAATACAAGAAGAGGAAAAACCCTGAAAAAAAAGAGATTATTTCAGTTAATAAAATAAAAAAAACAAATATAAAAATACTAAATAAATATAAATAAATATTTTATGATTTATTTCATGTAATTTGCTGAGAATGTGTTCAAAAAACATATTAGGATACCCAACTAAAGTTTGATGCATTTGATTATTTCTCACAAATTATAATCAAGGACAATAATTTTATTATTTAATGAATAAATACAATATTGGCTCACACTTTATTTTAAAGTTCATTTCTCACTTTTGAACAAAGACTTTTTGTCTCAGTAAACTCTTAATTTTGTGCTCATTATTATGTATTAATGGTGATATTAATATAGTTCACCCAAAAATGAAAATTCTATTTCTCACCTTTTACTTGTTCCAAACCAAAATAAATAAATTAAACTGGTTTTAAACCAGTAAAAGGTGAACTATTCATATAAGGGAGTATTTGGGTTTTGATAATATGTAGGATTAAGAATGAAATAAGAATATGTGCTTAATAAGTACTAATAAACGCCTGAAATATTGATAATAGACAGATAATAAGGCACTAGTTAATAGTGAGTATTGGTACTAAAGTGTTACCAAATATTTTATAAACAATTACAAGCATGCATTAATTAATTTAAAAACTTAGCTAAAGTTTCTCACCTTGAAGGGAGTTGAGTGCACAGAAGATGTAGTATGAGGGAATGAGCATCGGTCCATAACTGAAGAAGGCAACAGCCCACGTCAGACCAAACAGAAGAAACAAACTCAACACCATCATCAGCTGCTTTCTGAACGTCTGTCTCTTGCCCTCAGTCGCTCTTATGTGTCTACTCTGGATAATCCTAGTGAGGATAGTGATGATGAAGATGACTATTGTGAAGATGAAAACGAAGATGTAGTATCCCATGTTCAGTATGTAATGAATTAAAGGATTTGTAATCCAGCACCTGCAATTACAAGAGCATGAAATTCAATTTAAAGGACACTCAGAAGATATTTTAAACATTGATCATTCATGAATTTGTGACTTAATAACTAAGCATACATTTGTGCAACTTTTCCTGATGATGCGGTTAGGATCGTTTTGTTGTATCCTCCTACAGAAACTACTGCAATAACAGCTGGAGCTGAAAACCCTGCAAAACAAGGATATTATCAATAAAAAACAAAAATAATACAAAACACGCACACCCTGAGGTGCATTACCACTATTATCTGGCAAGGCACAAGGTCTAACTTCAAAACAGGTGTTATTTAGAAAGTCCAACAAAGTCAAAAAAATAACAAGGCAAAAAATTACCACAAGGCAAAAATAGAAAGTCTACAGAACTGACCAGATAACAAACAAGACGTTCTCCATAGAGCAAAAACCTCTTTTAAGTCAAAATGCAAACAAACCAAAACAACAAAAAGTGGCAAGGACAAGAGCAGGTCAAACTCAAAAACAAAGTGACAAGTGAAGACAGGAATCTAGAATAAATAGGGTAGACTAACGAGAACAAAATTATCACAAATTAACCCAAAACAAAAACATTGGGGACATTGGGCGACATCTTAAGGAGACAAAGAAAAACACAAGCAATAGCTCAGAATCTGACAGGATCCTCCTATAAGCAGTAATCCAAGAGTGCTCCTTGATCCATGGCCCTCCCAGTCCACAAAATACTGCCAAGACTGTTGCACGGAACAACAGAAGAACATGCTTAAATCGGGATACATGAAAGGTGGGATTATTTTAAGTGACCTAGGTAATTTGCAGCACTGGTTGAGCTCGTGGGATTCTATCCATAGGGGAAGGTTCCGAGTAAAGAAACCTGTTGACCAACCTGAAGAGAGGGTGCAGATATACCTCTACGATTGGCCTGTCCATGATACTGGGCATAGTTTTAAATGAGTTACTGTAGACTATATTCTGGATCAGAAGGAAGTGATTAATATGCTGCTGTACTAAAGGAACAGCCACTTGAATCCCTTTCTCATGGAAGCGTGGAGAAGAATCTGAAAAGGCACTCAAAGGGTAAAAAGCCAGTTGAGGATGAACAACGAGTGTTGTGAGCTATTCACCCAGAGATGGTAGAAGGACCAAGATAAAGGGTTGTAAGCCACTATACAGATAGCAAGACTCTTATTAACCAAGTGAGATTAACTTTTTCCGCCTGTCCATTAAACTCTGGGTCAGAGGTTTTGACATTAACCAAGGATATAACATCCTCCTTAGCTGTGGGCCACCGGTGTCTTTGTAGAAATTCCAGGGTGTGGGAAATACCAGGATGTCAAGAAAGCCAGGAGGAATGTGCCCATTGAAGAACTTGAGGACAAACTGCCTTTGGAACATATAACCAGTTAGCCAGACTGAGACATGCAAAGGAGCAGTAAGATGGGGAACAGCTCCAGGGGCCAGTGTCACCTGCAGTGGGTCATCTAACAGGTTGGCAGAAATATTGATGCAAGCAGCTAATGGCTTGTCTAAAAAGTTCCCTGCTGCTCCAGAATCAACAAGAGCTTAGAGTAGATGTTCCTCAGATCCCAATGTCAAGGTAATGGGTAAGACAGACTGGAGTTGTTAAAAGAGACAAGTTAAATCACTCCCAGGACAGCTCTCTCCATACTGCCTGGGATGGGAAGGTTTTCCTTCAATTCGGTACAATCTGAGTGAAACCAACCATCCCCTTGACTATAAAGGCGGAGATGACTCTTCATTTGATGGATATGTTCCCAAAGAGAGATGTGGGCATGGCCCAGGTGCATAGGGTCTGTGGAATCTGGTTCTGAAGAATTAGGTGACTCAGTGGCACTTGGAGAAGAATGGTGGTTAGGAAAATGTAAGGGAACATACTCGGCGGTAAGTCTTCTCTCTCTAAGATGGTTGTCCAAGAGTATAGCTCAATTAGGGTCAATCGAGAGTGTTAACTGGATCTTGGGTAGTCAACTCATCCTTGAGAGCTGCAGAAAGACCATTCTGGAAATAATGAGTGTTTCATCATTCCAGCCTTCTCCTGCGGCAATTGCTAAAAATTACAAGACATAGTCCGCTGCACTCTTATCTTCTTGACATAAGGTGAGTAGTTGCTTGAAAACCTCACTTCCTGAGAAGGGATGGTTGAATGCACTCTGTAATTCTTTCTTAAAGCTGGATTAAACGGGGCAGCAGGCTGCACCAGCTTTCCAAGTGCTTTGTCAGGTAAGAGAGTGAGTACATAGGTGATTTTAACCTGACCTGAAGAGAAAGTAGCAGGTCTTCGGATCCCCCGAGGAACATTACGGAGAAGAGAGACATGGCTCAAGCTGATGTGGAGGGGCATGGATAACAGGTGCAGGGGTTGAAGACTCAACTGGGGTTGGGACAGGACCTTGACACAGACTGTCAGAAAGTTGTTGCATTGATATAATGAGGCCTGGAAGTAAGTGAGAGTGCTTCTCCATAAGTGATTCTTGCTGAATCAGAGCTGCCTGATGGCACTTCACTGTAGATTTGTGTTGAGCATCAATAGTAACCTTCTTTTGGGCAGTGGCCGCAGCTGGGTTTATGTTGAGTTGGTTTTTCTGTGATGTGCCTGGAGTGCAAACACAGGTCTCTGGTGAAATAGTTAAATGTTCTACCATTAACCCACACGAAGAGCTGATGAACCCACACTGCCAAGGCACAAGGTCTAAGTTCTAAAAGGTCTTCATTTAGGAAGTACAACAGAGTCATAAATAATAATGCAGTGCTAAACATTACCACAAGGTACAAATAATGCAAAGACATGCAAGGGAACAGTAAGATGGATAACCGCTCCAGGAGCTATTAGTCTCCCGTTCAGCAGTGTCACCTAAAGTGGGTCATCTAACAGGTTGGCAGAAATATTGATGCAAGCAGCTAATGCCATGTCTATAAAGTTTCCTGCTGCTCCAGAATCAACAAGAGCTTGGAGTAGATGTTCCTCATATCCCAATGTCAAGGTAATGGGTAAGACAGACTGGAGTTATTAAGATACACAAGTTAAATCACTCCCAAGACAGCTCTCTCCCTACTGCCTGGGATGGAGAGTTTTTCTTTCAGTTCGGTACAATCTGAGTGAAACCAACCAGCTCCTTCACTATAGAGGCGGAGATGATCCTCATATGATGGGTATGTTCGCGAAGAGAGAGTTGGGCATGGCCCAGCTGAACAGGGTCTGTGGAATCTGGTTCTGAAGAATTAGGTGACTCAGCGGCACTTGGAGAAGAATGGAGGTTAGGAAAATGTAAAGGAACATACTGGGCGGTAAGTCTTCTCTCTTTAAGATGGTTGTCCTGGAGGAAAGCACAATCAGGGTCAATTGAGAGTGTTAACTGGATCTCAAGTAGCCAACTCATCCTTGAGAGCTGCAGAAAGACCATTCTGGATACAATGAGTGTTTCATCATTCAAGCCTGCACTTGCAGCAATTGTCCAAAACTGCATGGCATAGTCCGCTGCACTCCTATCTCCTTGACATAAGGCAAGTAGTTGCTGGGAAACCTCACTTCCTGAGAAGGGATGGTTGAATACACGCCGTAATTATTTCTTAAAGATATTTAAAAGGACTAAAGGGGCAGCAGGCTGCACCAACGTTCTAAGTGCTTTGTCAGGTAAGACACATATAGGTGATTTAAGCCTGACCTGAAGAGAAAGTGGCTGAGATGGAGACATGGCTCAAGCTGAGATGGAGGGTTATGTGGTTAATCTAATAGGTTGGCAGGAATCTTGAGTAGCTCATGCCATGTCTATAAAGTTCCCCACTGCTCCAGACGCAACTAGAGCTTGGAGTAGATGTTTCTCAGATCCCAATGACATGGCTCAAGCTGAGGTGGAGGGGTATGGATACCAGATGCAGGGGGTTGAAGGCTCCACTGGGGTTGGGACAGGATCTTGACACAGACTGTCTGAGAGTTGTTGCATGGAAGAGACACAGCTGAACAATATAAACACAAATTAACCCAAAGAGAAACACTGGGGGGAAATAGTGTTATCATTTGGATATCATCATCTGATATGACAGAACAGTTGTTTTACATCAGGCATTTGCTCCATCACTCACCCCAGCCCAACACGGTGATCTTCCTCATGTAGTTGGTGATGGTGACGTTCTGTCGGATGAGCCATAAGTACATATGAAGAGCTTGAATGAAGAACCAGGTGAATGAGGTCAGCATGGAGTAATGCATCAGCAGAGCTATGAAGACACAAGCATTCTTGTCTCCTGAGTTTGCCACGCTCTCGTTTGACAGAAAAGACACATTCAGGAGAAACAGAGCACCGAACATGTTGATCAGGATCTTCGTGGCCTGATTGGACTTTGCTTTCCTGTTGAAAGAGAAAAAACAACCGGTGTTAGTAACTGTCACAATAAACAGTTTAATATTTATGTTGTGCTTTAATAGACTCTACCTCAGCAGGAAATGCATGAACAGAGCGATGGCCAGAAAAAACACAGAGATCCCACAGCCAATAGCAGAGATGAGGGTCAGTGACTCCAGATATGGCGCTACAGCATTTGCATCTGGCACAGACTGAGAAATCAGAGAAAAAGCATAAATATGAATCAGATCAGCTGGATGATAATTTTAAAATCAGTTATTTCCTTTTAGCAAGAAATACATTTTTTTTTGTCTTTTTTTTTAAAGTTCGTATATAATAGCATGATGTAAAGAATAATTCACAACTGGTCAATTACTACAAAATACTACATGTCTGAGCTGGTGATATGGAGTCTAGCAACCATTATTTTTTGACCATTATAGCTGTGAAATAACTCATATAATAACTCATCAAAAATCATTCAGCGTAGTGATATTGAGCTATAGTGTGCTCAAAACCTGCTGGAACTACTTTTGCTGTTCTTCTTGTGAAAATAATGCCACACCTTAGAAAGCTCATCAACCAATCAGAATTGAGTATTCAACAGCCCTGCAGTATAAAAAAGTTGAATCTCTTCTCACCATCAGCACTGCGAAGAACGTCAGATGTGAACACGAACACTTTATGCTGTTACTGTTGATTTGTTTTGTCTCACAACCAAACGTTGTCCACTCAAGATTCCCTTCAAAGAAGAGAGAGCCACAGATAATGCTGAATACATTTAATTAGCTTTTCACAAGACAGTGATGATGTGTTTCAACAATCCTCTGCATTTAAAATTAAAATTATATATACTGTATATATTAGTGGTGGGCCGTTATCCGCTTTAATGTGAGACTCTTTTAATGCGATAAAAAATTATGGTCGTTCATCTATTCTCAACGTTGAGTTGGGAGCTGGGTCTATTCTATGCAAGCCATGATGACTTTCACCTTGATATTTTAGCGTGGATGTATACCTGACCGATGAGCCGCCTGACAAAAAGTGCCCTTCTGAATCAAATCAGCAGGATGCTTTTCTGGATCTTTCACTTACTTCGAAGACGCTACTGACTACTCTTACATGGACATCTGTAGTCTAGCTATTTGCATTAATAGACAATAATATAGTTAAGGTGTTTACGTGAAGTGCTTTCATGTTAGAGTTTCCTGTAGTTTTGGGTGACTTTAACTGCAGTTCGGCAGTTTCACTTTCACTCATCAACATTTCATTCATGCCCCTGTTACAAATTGGGGTATTAGACGCAAATAAGGAGTAAGGACTGGTGAAAGTGTTATGGAGTTTAATAACACATGTAAAATGGAAAGAAAAAACTTCCGCATTTTACTGTGTGTTTGTGTGTATGTGTGTTTGTGTTTGTGTGTGTGTATGTTTGTGTGCACGTGGTACTTTACTGACAGCTGCGTGTATGGAAAATATGTTGAAAAATCCTACATGACGTTAATAGTTTGATTGTGGTGTTTACTTCAATAATGCCACTAATATCTGCACACTCCACATGTCTTAATTCCATTTTTGTTTAGTTCAGTTATGACGGATTAGGGTCTTCAAAAATGGCTGTTTGGAGCTTATGCAGGCCTACAGTTCAACACTGAATGAACAGTAAACACAAGTACATCTTATCGAACATCATTTATTTTTATCACCAATTATCATAGTAGAACAGTTTCTCAAGCAGTTTGTGATGCAATTTGGAAACAGGAGATGAGCCCCTGGTCTAATGCGCCACCTGGCTTGAGAAACCCCTTCTCAAAGACTTACTTTTAGTCATTATTTGGGTAGCAGACATATTCTGAATGGTTTAGGCAGAATTTTAATGAGCCATTTTAATCTAGATTAATTCCAAGATTACAGTGAGATTAGTCTAGATTAAAAAAAAGAATCTATGCCCACCTATGATAGATAGATAGATAGATAGATAGATAGATAGATAGATAGATAGATAGATAGATAGATAGATAGATAGATGATAGATATTATATAATGTATATGTATATTTATAGATATAAATGTACATTTATTAAGTTATACTTTGTATCAGGGGTGTTGTTGGGCATAAAGCTCTAAAAGACAAGATTATGCGAGGTGTTTGTAATGCAGCATCTATGGGGGCAGGACAATAAATTTTACATTTCCTCTTCTATCTGCCTTTATCAGTCTCACTATTTTTTAATTATTTTTTTGAAAGTTGTGAAAACACTATTGTGAAGTTTATTTTTGGATATTTGAGCTAATCGGAAAGCAAAAAATGTGTTGTTCTGTCATTGCACTTTGCAAATAAATGACACTTTTGCTGCTGTGAAACCCAGAAATGTGAAAAGAGTTTATAAACACTTATCAATAGAGCCATAAATAAATGTACCTTTGCCATTCCAAGAAGTGCAGGATGGACCACCAACCTGAAGGAACATGTTTGAGTATTACTTGGCTTCAGTGTCTGGTTATATAATAATATATCTTAAAAAAAGAGAGAGTTCTGCAACAAAACATTCATTACCAGATCATTATTAGTAAAGGTTATTTCAATGTTGTTGGTGAGGTTGGCGATATTGGCTCCCATTGTTATTCCATAAACCTCATTGTTCAGAATGGTGTAATTTATAGTTTGATTCTGAATGAAAAACCATACCAGAATAGAGTCGTCATTTATAGGGGAATTAGGAAACATTTGTCCAAAGAAATACATTTTTTGAAGAATCACAAATGATCCATATAACAAGAGATGAAATGTAAGAGAGAAACACAGAGCATGTTACTTTATTCCCCATGTTAGTGAACCGCAGAACTCCAACAAATGCACTTCCATTGTTTTCCAGTCGGGATTTATTAAAGGCTTCACTGGGAAACATTGCAGTCCACAAACACCTTGTGTTGGTATCATTTTGACTCAAAATAACCTGAAAAGGAGAGCCAGGAATGATTGATAGCACAACCTGTACAACATACCTCAAACTTGACAGTAGCTTTACCATGGTGTTGTTTGAACTGTAGCATATGGTCATGTCTTTGGTCTCTGTTTTCTTGTCTTGTATGTGGAGAAGACCAGTAATGTTCCCCTTGTTAATCATCACATTGCTTTCATTATTTTTTTTCATAATATTCACCAGATTAGACTCTAAAATGTCCAAGGCTTCTCTGTAGAATAAATTGAATCATTTAGTTATCTGTGTTTGAGTTTTTGGTTTAAAATTCAGTTCGAACCTCACACTTACGCTGCTTTTGATGAAGGAACAAATCCATTCTCATCTTCTAGATCACTTATTGGTAGTGTGCTTGTCTCCTGTGATTGTGGCAGTGTGCTTGTCTCCTGTGATTGTGGTAGTGTGCTTGTCTCCTGTGATTGTGGTAATGTGCAGTTGACACAGGTCCAGGTGTTCAAAGTTTGGTTATTTAAATACAGAACGTATGTGCCATTTGCCATCGTTTCTACACACAGAAATAAAGCATGGGTTTAATTCAACTGTGCAACAATTCAACACATTTTAAACAATTGAAGAGATCTAATGTATCAGGTGATTCTTATTTATAAATGAAGAAAAATCATAGTTTGTACATTATACTGTTTATAATGCATGTTTATCACATATATTAATGACATACACATGCACATGCACTAATAGCTTTAATAAATATGCTTTTAGATACTGTTGTACTATAAATGTTTAGATGCAGATTTACATTTTATGTGAACTAGAAACTACTACTGAAAAAAAGAAATGTAAAAAGAGAGACTTACTGTTGCAGATGTCAGGGCTAAATTGAGCATTTTTACATTGGTCTTCAACTTCATCAGGAGGAATTTCCAAACAATCTTAATAAACCATGAAACACAATTCAATGTTATTATGAAGTCAAACATTGTATGATTTCAATAAAAGACACTGAATTAAGAAAAGTATGGACAGGGATAAAGGACTAATGTTATTAAAACATTAATAAGAGATTAACACACACACACACACACACACACACACACACACACACACACACACACACACACACACACACACACACACACACACACACACACACACACACTCATAGTACACTACGGCCAACTTAGTTAATCAATTCCCCTACAGCTCATGTGTTTTTACTGTGGGGTAATTTTTTGAGAAATGTTATGTTTGCATTCACCCCCATAATATCAGATTTAATTTACACCCCTTACAACCCGTTTAACCACAGATTTTCAGAATATTTCTGTTTGATTTTGAGGAGGCGTAAGTAAACCTTTTCCCCTGATAATATTTTAAATGTCATATGATGCACGTTTCTTTCTTTAGAAGGCACAAAACAAAATAGCAGAATGTGAGGTGATATGCACCTGCAGCGTAAACCAAACTTCTGATGTGTTTGGCAATGAAACAGCTCTTTACTTTGCAATGAGCACATTAGACCTCTGCACGGGCATTAACCCTGAAACTCCTGAGATCATTCAGTCTGAGCCAGCCATAGCTGTAAATTCAGAGCTCAAACCCAATGTTGGATTCTTATAAGAAAATAAATGTGCTGTTTTTGGGATTATAATTCCTCTGTATGTGGTGCTACAGCCCTGAATTAAATAAATTGTCAAAGTGGACTTCTACACATGTTCTGCTTACTAAATTATGTTAAATATTTGATGATACAATTATATACATTTCTCTATATTTGAAAATGTACAAAATGTTTTTTTTTTTCTGCTATGGGTCTATGTTGGAAAAACAAAATCATTAAGACTGTGTCCGGTGTAGAATGACACAAACCTGATGAGTGGCATATCACACTTGCCAAAACTTTATTTAACTGCTGATTTAATTGTTTCGCAGTTGTAAAATTAAAACTGCTTGGCTTACACTGTTCTGAAACTAGAGAGAACATTTAAGATTAGTTTAAATAAAAACTCAAGGATGGTTTATAAATAAAATACACACAGGTTTACCTCCAGAACGGATGTTTAGTGTGACAGTGGTCAAGCGGAAATTCTCTTCAGAATAATTGTGGTGATATGTCAGCTGTATTGCTGGAAGACAAATTACTTGACAAGTTTTATTTATTTATTTTTTTCGTCACAAGTGCTTTCAAAACATTTTAGAAATGAAATAGACATCACATCTACCTGGATTTTTTGAGCTACTGTTGTTCCAGAAGCAGAGAGCAGTCAGATTGACTTTGATTTTATCAGGCGATGGTTTACAACCAGACCCAGCTGTACACAAATAACATTTAAGGGTAAAATAATATAACAACCGTATAAAATGAAAAAAACATTTTCACGCATTTATTTTTAAATTAATAAACTTTAGTTTCTGTATGAATCGTACTTATCCGTCCAGTGAGGCAGCAGAGGATCATCATCATCATCATCATCATGATCAGTCGCAGCACATTCAGCTTCTGTCCAGACATAATTCCCACAGACCTGACAGAGACACACGTGTTTAATGTTGTTTTCTACAGGCTCTGAACACAAATCCTACATCAGTTTCTCATTACATTCCCCAGATCAAAATCCACAGACCAGAGAAGAGAGACTTTCATCCGTTCACCTCTGAAGCTTCTGTATTATGATGTTAATGACAGAAAGTTCACTGGCACACATGCAAATCAGCTTTATTTTGGTTTTAACTGTGAATGTCAGTGTTCATTTACATTCAGCCCTGGGTCATCATGTCGTATATATTTATTTCAAGTAGTAACAGGATTCATAAACTTGAAGACATAAACTCAAGACTTCATCATGATAAAGGGATCAGCCTTTTCTTACAGGTTTTGTGTACTTTTATTTTAAAATATGGACTATCCTTGTGAATGTTGGTAAGCTGCTGTATCAGATAATGATGCAAATTTCTGAACCCACATGCGTGTCAACATCAGTAACATCCTGAATTTGTTTTTAAATAAGATACAATTGTGTTTGTGTCACTCAGACACGCACATGAAGGATTATGACAATCAATGAATCAAACATCAGTAAATTCAGTCCTCAAACAATAATAACTCACACTGCACTGCTGCGAAATGAACTGCCAACTGATCCAGCATATGTTTTACGCAGCGGACACCCTTCCAGCTGCAACCCAGTACTGGGAAGCACCCATACGTAGTCTTTCACACACACTCACATACACTACAGCCAATTTAGCTTATTGAATTCATCTACGGCATGTCTTTAGACTGTGGAGGAAACCAGAGCACCCGGAGGAAACCCACACCAACATGACCTTCTTGCTGTGAGGTGATGGTGCTGCCCACTGCACCACCGTGCTTCCCTTTAAGCTAACATAAACTAAAAGTTTCTTTTGTTTTAGAGAACATGCAAATGTAACTTTCCCACTGAATGATCCAATGGAACATTCCCTGAACATTTGCATAAAAAAACAGGCAAATAGACACAAATCAAATTTAATTAACAAAAAACAACATTAACTAAAAGGCGACAGCAAACAAAACAAATTCTTAATCTAATTCAGCCGTTTCAATAAAATTGACTTTATTAGTGAGACTCATAACTCTATAGAAAATTTTAAACAGCTCTCTTTCATTCAGAACTGATGTTTGTCTAATGTTGTGGGCCTGATTTTGAAGATTAATACACTGTTTTCCCTTAGATTATTGGGATCAGGAATCCCTGTTTTCTAGTCCCAGTTTTTGTGCCGAAATATCTCGTAAATAGGTAAAGCACACTGTGAAATGTCTCTCTGTTAACAGTTTCCCATATTTTGTGATTCACAGGTTTTGTGTTTTGTGTTTATTCACAGGGATAAATTGCATTGTGGGAGGTTGCTTTCTGCTCTGTCAACAGTTGATGTTGAAAATTCAACTTAAAGTGAGATTTATTGACATTGTAGTTCAAAATATTTTATATATGAACTAATAAATATAGAACTCAGTCCATAAAACAGGACAGGTAAATTTACTAGCAGTTTATTACCAGGTTGTTGTACCATTGCATTACATTTACAATACTAATACAGGCAATACACTATGAACACAATAATCCTCCAATGGGGTCAGCAAAATAATCTTGTTTTTTCTTTTGAAGCAAGATTAATTGGCTTACCCCATTGGCAGATTATTTAGCTTGTTTTAAGGAAAAACTCACTTAATATTGGCAAATTATTTCTCATAACAAGACAATATGTTTTGCTTGTCTGGAAAATGACTCTCGATTTAGGAATTTTTAAATATGTGAACTAGAAACAAGACAAAAAATCTAAGTATGAAAAGCATTTTTTGCAGTGTACATCAATTTAAATATAAAAAAATGTTAACGAAATTCTCTTGATACTATTAAAAACCATTATATATATATATATATATATATATATATATATATATATATATATATATATATATATATATATATATAGATAGATATATAGAGACATATATATATATACATATATATATATATATACATACACACATATAAAAACTTCTGTGTGCTCAACTCCTTTCTAGTTTATAAACTGAGGGCTGCAACTGCACACACAGATCTTAA